ACAATCCTTTGATCCACTTTGCATGTAGCATCTGATGTGTACTCGTCGTCCTTTCTTTACCATGCCCTCTTCCATTTATCATGGCGTTATGGTGGAGGTCAACTTCGATCAAGACTTATAGAATCTCTCAGCTCTTCTTCCATTTATTTTCTTTTTTATTCCATCAAATTTTTTTCAATTATTTGATATCCTCCACGAGACAACCTGTGTGGATAGATATTTCTAACTCGATTTTGCTTTCCTTTTTGGCTCTTTGCCAAGAAGTCAGGAGTTTTGCGAGACTCTACAAATTTATCCCAAGTAGCTCGATCAATAAATGAATATACCTCGTATGGAGGTAGTTCTTTATGATGTTTAGTATAATCATGGGTGAGCTGTGTCTTAAACCTCCTTGAACTCTCACCACAATAAGTAAGCATTTTCTTTTTCACATACTTATCATTTAGAGTAACAATGAAGTGAACATATGTTTACACAATAGAGATGTTATTAGTATTACACAAAAAATATAATTGTAAAAAACATGATAGGATACAAGATCAATACCGTAATATCGACCCATATGTCGTTTTTAAATTCATCATCAATGTCATGCCAACTATTTACCAAAATACTCACTTTACTTCTACCTTGTAACGCAATGTAACCCAAAAAATCATCAGCATGTTCACCTTCAAGCTTGTCGGTTTCTGCATTGACTCTAACCGGATGCCGAATACCAGATTTGTTGGATTTTTCACCTTTGTATACATCGTGGCACCTCTAATTTTTCTTTTACGACTTTGTGTATTAACATAGTTTGCAGCAGATGTTGTATGATAGTTGCTTGTTGAATCGGCCATGACTATCAAGATGAATAAACAAAGTGAAAAATTAATGTTGATGAATATACAAATGGAAAATAATAGAAACAAAATGATCAATAGACAAAGTAACGAAGAAACCCTAAACAAATTGATCAATAGACAAAGTGAAAAACTAACGTTGATGAATATACAAACTAACGATTCAGTGAAGAACAAATCTATTGCGAAAATGATGTTTGATGAATATCTGATGGAAGAGTTTTGATATCGCCTCTGGTTTTTTGTGAAATGAGAGTGACGAACTGACGTTTGATTGTTGATAGGTAAATAAAAAGTTAGAAACTAGCTAGATAGTTCTATGAATTATTTCATGCAAAATAAGTTTCATTTCGGTTTTACAAAAAAATCGACGTGGTTGTTTTATTAAAAATATAAAATACAAAATTAACTTCATAGCGCCATATTCTGGGAATTCATTTAAAAGATATATCACGTCGGATATTTAGGAAAACCGAGGGGTTAAAATATATCAAATAAAGTATTAAAATAAGATTTTGAAATTAGTATTATGAAATTGTTAATGCAAAATATATTAAGTCTCAGTTGGATCCTGTAGCCGAGTCAAATACTAATGGAACAAATAAAAAAATGGAAATTGAAAATGCGCCAATTGAGAAATACCTACTAAACAATTGAAAAAAATATAAAATGCAGCAACTTGGTGTCAAAGAAAGCTCCCTTATTGATACCTTACCTCAGTTATATTAAATGTTCGAGGTCTAATGTTTTTTATTAAAAAAAAATTAATACAACATAACACTCCCAGGATCTATACTCTCGTTTTTTCATTATTCGAGGTGTAAGTTTCGTCATGAAAAGCATTACTTTTTGCAATGTAAATAGAAAAAAAATGATTTTGTTGATGGAACCCTAAAGGCAACATATGACAAAACCAAAGCAAAACATTATTAAGCATCAGAAGAAGAAAAATGCAATGTTAGGGTATTGTCATGGATTTTTAGTTAATTGACCTCTTATATTTCATACAATACACTGATCATAAAGTTTGGAAGGATCTTCAAAATTGTTTATGTCAAAGAAGGGCATCACACATTTTTTTAGATTGAGAGAGATTACTTGTCTTAGTCAAGATCAAATACTATTTGATGCTTACTACAAATTTTTTAAAATATTGTAGGGTGATTTAGGATCCTACAATGACGTTGTTCACTCATGTGGAACAAACTACAAAAAGGCAAGTAGATGCAATTCTTTATGAGATTGAATGGATTTATAATGTTGTCTGCGGCCAATTTATTTTGATGAATCCTCCATATAATGTTTCACAATCTTATTCTTCCACCATTCAAGAAGAAAAACAGTGAAATTCGAAAGCAAGAAGAGAGACTACCAAACTTCTATCATGGTTTTTCAGAAGAGGAGTCAATAGCACTTACTATTTAAGATAAATTAGGTCCATTTTCTCGTTCTAATTCTAATAATCGCAAACTGTTGTAGATCAACACGCAACACGGGAGAGAGAGAGAGAGAGAGAGAGAGAGAGAGAGAGAGAGAGAGAGAGAGAGAGAGAGAGAGAGAGAGAGAGAGAGAGAGAGAGAGAGAGAGAGAGAGAGAGAGAGAGAGAGAGAGAGAGAGAGAGAGAGAGAGAGAGAGAGAGAGAGAGAGAGAGAGAGAGAGAGAGAGATGATGATGATGATGATGATGATGATGATGATGATGATGAATGTTGCATGGTTATCCACTTTAAAATTCAAGCATACCACAACTAACAACTATTATTTAAAACCCAATAACAACAATCAATCTTTAATAAATAACGTTAGAGATATCTGAACTAATCATGTTCAACCCCTTGTGAATGGATTAACCGAATTACAACTACAATAAATTTTGTCCATTATGCAGAATAATTAAACATGTGAATCAACTTACTCTTAAGTATATCATCTCAATCTTTCTTTAGGTTTTTCCGCACCCAAGTTTAATTAATAATGGTGAAACATATTATATAAATTTTTGTCCATATTTACTATTAGCACTAAATAAATCACTTAGTTACCACCAATTATTATGCCAAAAATGGAGATAAGAATCCGATAATTTCTATTGGAAATTTACCTTTGAGTCATATAATTTATTTAAAGAATGTGCTTGAGGTGTCATCTTGTAAAGTGGATATAATGTTTGTGAGTCAAGTCACAAGACATTTAAATTTTTTGATTATATTTTTCCTTGATTGTGTATTTTACAGGATTTAACGATGGGATGATGATTGATTTGGATGAACAATGAAAGGGACTTTGTTGCCTAGTTGCAATGTATAACTTACACAATCATATCCAATCAATTCATACCATCAAAGTCGCATCTACTTAAATCACTTTCAATATCTTGTGGCATAAGTGTCTAGGACACTTATCATGTTCTAGATTAGACTTTCTAGAAAAATATTTTCAAAATTTTCCTTTCAATAAAAATAATAATTGTGTTTGTGCTTTTTCAAGAAAAGCTATGCTTCCTTTTTCTACAAGTTTAGTTTCTTTTGATAAACTATTTTAATTAACCCTCATTGTTAATATTATGAAGGATGTTGAAACTACATGATATGAACAAGCTGCCTCCCAATCTCATTGGTAAATAACAATGCAATCTGAGTTTGCTGCTTTAGAAGGCAACACAAAATATTTCTCACACCTCTCCCTCCTAGAAAGCAAGCTATTGATTATCATTAGTATACAAAATCTTCCGCTTGGTTTTCAACGATAAGGGGAGAATCTTGCGTGTCCCATCAACAATTCTTGTATGGATTAAAATAAATATCTCGTTAATGGTTTGTCAAATTCACTACATATATTCAAAGGGCTGAATATGTTCAATCCAAATCATATTGCTCATTATTTACATGTAAGAAAAAGACAAATCATTTATCGCCTTATTGCTCTATGTTGATGACATTCTTATAAGTTGCAATGATCCTAATGCTATGATTGTTCTTAAACATTTTTTGCATGATAAATTATGAATTAAAGATTTGACTGACTTAAAGTATTTTTTAAGCGTAGAGGTTTCTTGGTAAAAAAAAAAGGTATATTTATTTCACAACAGAAGTATGCTTTAAATATTCTAAAAGATGAAGGGTGTTTGGAAGTTAAAACTAGAAAAATTTTCCATTGGAATAAAATGTAAAATTGTTGTAGGCCATCTAATTTATTTTACGATTACTCGCCCGGATATCGCCTACTCAATATATATATATCGCCCGGCATAATAATTAATTTAAGAGAATAGAATATACATTATGCTCACATTTATATTTGAAAATAGTATTTTTTGATTTTTTACACATATTAATGAAGTTAATGATTGTTTATTTTAAATAATATATTTTTTTTTATCTATAATATTTTTAATTTTTTATTATTATAACTTTTTTTTTCTCTGTCTCTATAATAAAGAGTCAGAATAATTTTGACAAAACTATAAGTAATACTATTTTAAAATTTAAAAGTGACAATTAAAAAGAAATATAAAATTTTTCATAAAAGTGTCAATTAAGAAGAAACGGAGTGATTAATTAGCATTTGAAATGGTGCTTATTTGATGGTTAATGAAGTGCAATGTTTTATTATATTTATTAATTATTGACTGAATTGCATTAATCAGATATTTAAATTGTATTATTTCAGCCTGATTTATAAGTAAAAAAACAAATTTTATATTTATTAAAAAAATAATTAAATATATTTATTTTTCTTGATTTTATGTAAGAGAAATAATATAATTACTAATATATCTTCAATTAAATTATTATTCACTAACAAATATTAAGTAATTAATTCGGAGATAATTTTCTAATATAAATATTAAATTTATCAACATTTACTAAGGTCAAAAAGTATAAAATAATTTATGGATTGTGAGTTGAGATTTAATTCATATATAAAACAATTTTAAATTGATGGAATAAAACAAAATAATTTGTCCGTTCTTCTTACAAGGCACAAGCTCAGCTTGTGTTACATAACAATATAATATTATCAAGTAGATACTTTACATAATTTATATATTCATATAAAAAACATTACAAACACATTCCATCCAAAAACAAAAACATTACATATATCAAAGAGTTAATAATAGATAGATCCAGCAAGTGAAAAACATCCCTCCAACATGAAATCCTTAATCATTGTTATGATCTTTGCTATAACATTGATCCTTTCACTTGAGGTTAATGTTGCCAAAGCTAGAACTTACCCATCTACATCCCAAGTTTCAAAAATGCTTTCATCATTCCAACCACATAAAGAAGGGTCATCAAAATCAAGTCAAGATCAGCATGAGGTGGCTGCTAGCCTTAAATTCATACCACCTAGCAGACCAAATCCAACACAGAACAAGTAACTAACATGCACCACTTTCTTCATTACTTGTCTCTAATCATTGTTTTTTCCATTATATGATCTATAAATTAACAACAAAGAGTGTGTGTGCATGTGTATCAGGTTAAATCCTAAGATAAAGGATTAAGCAGAGAATTTGGTGGTGGTGGTGGTGATGGTGGTGGAGCTGTGTTGATTCAGACTTGTAGCTAGCATCAACTCTATTTTGCTCTATAGCTGTCTTTTTTTTGACTGTTTCTCATCTTTAAATTCTTAGTTTTGTTAGTCACAGTGAGATATAGTTGAGTTTAGATTTCAATTTATGTTGTCTTTAATTGATGCTTTAGATTATAGATAGTGTAGGAGGTGATTAATGTAAAGGAGAAAAGTACTAGTAGCATCATAATTTGTAAAACTCAAAACTGTTAATTTTTAATTTTTTTTTTTTTTTTTGCATAAGATTTGAAATTTGTTTCTTTTATATCTTTTGTTTTCTATTTTATTTCTGAATCGGTATAATACCAATTAACTTGCATGAAAATCACTTATTTGCAATCACTCACACAATCCCACAAATTGAATTGAGAAAAGTCATGATAAAGGAACAAAATTTTGAACACCGCCGGAAGAAGGTAAACTGATGTCAAGTTAGTTTGAGCAAAGAATAGGGAGGGCATGCAGGCCCAAACCCGTGAGATCCAACCGCACTTGAATTTGAATTGATTGGGGTTGAGTTCGGGTGTCACCCGATATTTTGGGTATGGATTTGGGTTCACTCAAATCCGTATCCGAAATCCGAAACTACACTTGCTTAGACATTAAAGGATTAGATATATAAATCCCTCTGCAATGTTAGCGAGTTTAGGTTTTAGTCTATAGTAATTTTTTTTTAAAAACTCCATTGCAATTTCCAGATTCCCGCAGATACCTCCTGCAACATTGCAACAAAAATTCTCTTTAACCACCTATGTGGCAGTTCACATGGTATTTGTTTATTTTTTAATTAATTTTTTAATTAAGGTGTAATTTTTTTAAATTTTTATATTATATTTTTTATTTTAAATGATATTTTATATTTTATTAACATTTTTAATTTTTACTTTATGTTTTTTAAATTAAATATTAAAATTTGGTCTGGACTTAAAGTCCAAGTTGAACTATACAACAGCCAAATAACTTATTGAATTTATAACTACTTTGTGAAAGTGTTATATAAAAACTTTTATTTCCTTTCTTTTTTCTGATGTGAAACTTATGTTTGGAGAAACAAGATGAAACTGGAAACTGGTGCAAACTGAAACAACAAAAAAAAGAGAAAAAGTAAAGACTCGAATGACAGAGTTATCAAACATTTTTCATAAGGTATGTGACCAGCTAATAGTGGCTAATATTTATGTGTGCGAACGGCTCCATTGAGTTCATTGTAACTGATATCAAGGTGTTGCAATTGTGTGAGATTTTGTCTAATATTCAAAGAAATTAAGGTCTAGATATTGTAGATATTGAAGCATAGCTATTGAAGGATTGAACGTGGGGAGTGCATGTCTCTCCCTTTCATTGCACTTGATCACTCCATTCTTTGTTGAGTTGAACCCAAAAATCTGAATCTAATAAAAAATTGGCTAAATGAATTTGTTATGAAATGAAAGTCATTGATTTTGGCATCAATTTTCTAAGAGGTATTCTACCTTGCCTTTTATTGTGATGTTTCAGAGCAATAGGGATTTTATGATTATCTTATACCAAGTTTATGGGTCATTGTAATCACGTATTTCTTATTTCTCTGTAATAATACTCATTTATCATAGGTTCAACCCCGAATTTTCATTATCATCAAAATATTCGTGGTTGTGTACAAAGATGCAAGGGGATGATTGATGTTTGTACTGGAAATCACATTTCTATATAACAAGATTTTCTTCAACCGAACTGTTTATAATAAAATATTTTCAAGAATATATATTGCTGTCAGCAACTATCAGTCATCATTTTTAAGATCAATGTTTGATTTTTAAGACCAATTTAGTTATACTTCTAGAAGTCTCAGTTAGATATTCAATTTTAATTGTGCAAAAGTCAGAAAGAATTTTTGATCGATCCATTCTTAGAAAAAAATCTTTTCAGGCAATTACCTTGAAACGTTGATATTATTAAGTTATACATCTTAGTGCCAGTGCAGGAGTTCACTGCTTACCTGTTAAAAAGTTTCTAGTTTTTATTGTTCGCTAGTTATTATTCTTCTGTTTTCAATGTTGTCTTGGTTCACTCCAGGATTACAAAAGCTTGTCCTATTAAATCTGGAAGGGTGCCTTGTATCATCTGCATGCTTGGATTCTCTTGCAGGTTGAATTACTTCATAGATTTAATGCCAAATGCCCCAAATTAGTTCCAAATAAATGTATAAAAATGCAATTATATAAGTTTAAATAATTAAATAAATAAAAAGGAAATTCTTCATAATGAAAGTTTACTCGATTTGATGTAAATACCTCTATTTTCTCTCTCAAATATATATTGTTTTTATATTGGATCGATAATGTGAACCTGCTGAATTGAAAATGTCATCTTTTATTATCTTGCTTTCAGCTATTGATCTTGTATTAACTGTTAATGTACAAACTATTAACTTTTGTGTGCAAGGAGATGATCATGTTCTCCAATGTGTTTTTTGCATGCATTGGAAGCACAAACATGATAGGGTGTTGCTTAAGTTAATACAACATCGTAGAAAAAATGTTATATTTTCACAATTATCCCACATCGACTTATACAAGAAAAGTAGAAGTGTTTATAAAAGAGAAACACATTTGCTATAATGAATCGAAAATGAGCTCAAAGTAAAAGGGTTAAAAAGGCAAATGTATTTTATATTACATTTTTATATTTAAATAATTTCTTAATTTAAAAAAGCTAATAGTATTAATTAATAAATATTATATAATAAATTAATTAATTAAAAATAACTATTAAAATTAATGGAAAAAAATAAAAAATAAAAACAATTCCACGTATATTTAAAAAAATAATTAAATATCATGTGAATTGCCACATAGGAAGTTAAAGAGAATCTTTGTTGCAATGTGGCAGGGAGGTATCTGAGGAAATCTGCAAATTGCGAGGGGGTTCTTAAAATTTTATTTTTATCAGAGGCTAAAACCTAAACTCGCTAACATTGCAGGGGGATTTGTATATTTAACCCGACATTAAATTACATAAGTAACTCTCTCTCTCTCTCTCTCTCTCTATATATATATATATATATATATATATATATATATATATATATATATATATATATAAGTGTAAAGATTTAAGACCTTAATTTTAATTATAATGTTACCAAACTTGATGGAAAGTTGTAATTTAATTCTTTAATTTCTTAGAGAGACTTTGATGGAGTTCTTGTGTTTCAAATTTCAATGTTGTTGTTGTTGTATTTTCTGTGTTATTGATATGGGTTCGGGTTTGGATGGAAAAACTCGAACCCAACAGGTATGGGCGTGAGTGTTATTTTATCACCCGAATAGTCTTTTTGTTTGGGTGGTGATTTTGGGTGTGGGTTTGGGTAGTGTGAAACCCGCACTCGACTCGACCCGTTGCCATCCCTAGCAAAGAAGACAGAATCTCAAAATAGATTAGAATCGATTGGTAGGTCTGAATGAAGTGAAGGCTTAAATTGTTGGGGGACTCTGAAGAACACCAATGAAATCAATGCTTCAGGTTTAAAAGAGAGACATCACATCTCCAATCAAAACTTTAAGACATTAGGTAAATGAGTCATTTCTCTTATAAATCTAATATTTCACAACAAAAATTTTCACAAGTGTGAGTCTCCCTCATCCTATAACCAGATGTACAATAGGATCCAACTCTCTCCTCCACCAAGCCGAACCATGACTTTGATACCACTTGTTAGAGAGTATGAGAAAGGCGGGAGAAAACAACATGTTCAATACTTCTGGATCTCAAGAGAGGGAGATGCCACATCACAATCCAAAACCTTAAACATTAAACATATGAATCACCTATCTTATAAATTCAGCATTCCATAGGTGACGTGAGACTCAACCACTCACATTTACACCAAAAAAATTTCCCCACAAGTGTGAGTCTACCACATCCTATAATCAGATTCAACACATGATCCACCTCTCACTCTCTAAACCAAGTCGAACCATGGCTCTGATATCGGGGGAATCTAGGAAAACCAGGAAAACCAACAAAACAAATGCTCTAAGACCACAAAAGAGATAGAAAGACCACATCTTCACCAGGAGGTTTGAGGCTTAATCACCCACACTTGCACCCGAAATTATTTCCCACAAGTGTGAGTCTCACACATTTTATAACAAGATCCAAGGAACAACCCAACTCTGGTTTCTCTACAAGCTGAACCTAGGCTCTGATACCATTTATTAGGGAGTCTGGGGAAAGCGAGGGCACCAGTGGGATCAATACTCCAAGACTCCAAGAGAGATACACAACATCTCTACTCTAAACATTAAGGCATTAGGTATATAAGCCATCTCTCTTATAAATGCAACATTTCACTACTACTACTACTATAAAAAGTACTTTTCGTAATGCCATTTCGCCTCGGCCAAAGGATCCACCATGGTGGAAATCTATTCAATTAGCCACTTTCTTTTTATTTTAATTTTTAAGCCACTTTTAACCATGATTGAAACTTTCAACCATGTTGAAAAGTGGCATCTGATCATGAGTTCGAATCCTAGCACCTACAATTTTGTTTTTATTTATTTTTAAGCCACTTTTTATTACGGTTGTAACTTCTAACCGTGGTAAAAAGTGACGCATGACCATGAGTTTAAATCTTGTTGTTGTTGTTATACTGTTGTATTTGTTATTTTATTAAAATGCATACAACAACAATTGTTTAATACAACCGTGGTTGTATGTAGTACACTATCCACTTTACTACCACAGTTGAAACTTCTAACTGTGGTGAAAAGTCACCCAATTTTATGTATATATATATATATATATATATATATATATATATATATATATATATATATATATATATATATATATATATATATATATATATATATATATATATATATATATATATATATATATATATATATATATATATATATATATATATATAACACTTTTTGTTCA